ATTGTTCATATATGTATATATATATATATATATATATATATAGATGTATACGCGCATCATTATAATATCTATCTGTGCGTATATTATCTATATTTGTTATCGCTTACCATCGTTTGTTACGATTCGAAATAGAATGCTTGCTGTGTAGCGCACATCGTCGTATTTTTTCAATCGCGAAACTATATATTATACTTATTTTCTTTCTTTTTTTCATTTTCAATAGAAAAAAAAAATGCCAATCATATCATCGATAACACGCTTTACTTATCGTTTACAACATTCGCAGTTACGTAATTTGCGTGAACGGATTGGTTTATTTTCCAAATTTTTGTCCCATTATCGCGGAAAGCAAAAAAGTATAAAGAAACACTAATTAATTGAACCAGCTATCTTCTCATTGTAGACTCGAATGCGCAACCATATGTTTTCACGTGATTATATTGTACAATTATAATAGACACCTGGTGTTGCGATCGATCGCAAGGTGCTAAACGAAACAAACAAATAAGAACCACGTTTTTTCTAATTCCGTCGTATTTTTATCTATCAAGATCTTTATACTCGCTGTATACTAATTAAAAGGAGAGGAAAAAAAGCACATTATACGACAGTGTAAAAGAGATGGGTGAGCATTCTGGTCTTCAACCTGTTCATGTGTGTCTTATTGGTGAATCCTGTTAACGAATATCGACCAAAAAGAAACCTATGAACCTATTTTTGTTACGCGTCTATGGTACACGTTATACATGTATAATATACGTCTGGCATCGTGATAAAAAGCAGTTTCAAACTAATTTAAACGTTGTGCGAACAAGTGCGTGTTGCTAGTCACTTTTTTAACGACCGTCGTGTTTTCTTCTCGCGATACGGTCGTACGTGTAATTTTTATTATTAACTACGAAAGAAAGAAAGAAAGAAAAGAAAAAAATATATATGCTATGTATTCATCGTGCGACTGAAACTCACTTATATAAGTGGTCAACTTTCCAAATAATATCACAATCACAGGAGAGAAGGAGGAGAAGACTAGCGTATCGAAAGCAAAGAGAGCAAGTCAAATAGCAATAGGGATTCAAAAACGGCGAACGTATTCCGCGTCGTCGAGCCATTGTTTTTGAACGATTATATGTTCCAGTTCCTTTTCTTTTGTCAACGAATGTATTATTTAAGATTATATCGTTGCAACCTCGTTGAGTAATATTCTATCGAACGTACCGTGCCATTCTGTTAAATTTCTCTCGAGTTTAACGAACCCTTTAACCGTGTTTCTTAGTCTTCCACCGTGTCTCCAGGCTGTGATATTATTTTCGGCGGTGTATCTCATTCCTTTCATCTTAAGTCTATATTTGCGCTGAAAAGACGTCTCCTCTCGTCGCGGCAGCTTCCATACGAACAGAAACAGCAGATTAGAAGGAAGAGAGAAATAAAAAGAGAACTTAGAAAAATTGTATCGTCGTATTCAGGAATTATCTCGACCAAACTTCAACCCTCGGACGGTGGCGAATGAAAGTTTAATTTAACATAATTCTAAATTTTAAATCGCCTTTGTTTAAAAATCTCCTCTAATTCTATTCGGGGGCACCCTTGCCCATGGGTCCCGAGGTCTGGGTCACAATTGATCCGGCTCCGCCACTCGAGGGTCGATCGTTGATTGCATAGTTAATGAAAGGTGATTAGAAGTTCCGATCGCGTTAACGTGTCGAGTAGATAGGAAAAAATAATCGGGCAATTATCAAGAAAAACATACATGTATATTGCACACTGAATTGAAAAGTGTACAGGGTATTTTGTAACACATGGGACAAAAAAAAAATTAAAAAAAAAAAAAAAAAAGAAATAATAAAATATGATTTGTTGTACACCATTGAAATGGGTCGCAGCTGGTACAAAACACCCTGTACATTTAAACAAAAGTACTTATCTGTGCGGAGGCGACAGATTCAATGAATTAAATGTATAAACGCTTAATTAGAGTCGGCCCGATTCAACTTTACTATGTGTGTATCTAATAGTGTGGTCTGTCTCTCTCCTATGTGTCGCTCTTGTGTGCGTGTATGTGTGTATGCGACGACCGAGCCAGTAATTTATTATACTTGATTTGCATGAACCGTCGTCCTGTTTCGTGTCGTTGTCATTGAAGGTAATCGAGCGGTAGATGTAACAACTGATCCAAAAGCGCGTTGCGAATGAATGTTACATAATTTGTAATAGGTACACTTCAAGTGTGTGCCATCGGTTCCTTTATTCGTGTTATGCTCGTTTGAAACGTGCCAGGTTGCTTCAAATCGACGCGATTCCATATCTATCGTCACCAGTCTAGTCGAAATCGCATCACGAGTAGAACACCATTCCCCTCGCGTACAATTTCCAGGTGTATTACTATCGAACATCCGTTCCAGATAAACTCATTCTTGCACGTATCTAAGTGTAACAGTCTCTTGGCGTTGGACCAAGTATCTTTAGAAGAAAAAAAAAAAATGAAAAAAGGAAGCTCGCGACTATTTTCCTAGCGCTTTTCTCTCCCTTTCTCATACGAGTCCTTCTCGTGTTATCTCTAGTTCTGTGGGGGAAAAAAAAAATTTTTTTGAAAAATCATTCGCCTTACTACACGCGGTGATTCCTCGCGTATCAAACGTGCTCACGATCGTCTGTGCGTATGTGTATGTGTGTGTATAAAATAATAAGTTAAAGATGTAAATTTCACCGTCTCGTTGTCGCCACCCACGCGACCCCATTGTCCGTGCAAGAACTTCCTATCAAATATAATAGCCTTAACGTTTGCATCAGTCAAAAATCTTCGAACTCTTGACCGGTGAATACACTAAAAGCAATACGAGTAATTCGACTCGATTGCGTATCGACAATCGTCCTCTATCATCGTCAAGTAACTCTTTTGATGAACACAATTGTCTGTATAGTTTCGTGCAACTTAGGTTTGCTTTAAAGAAAAGCGTAAAAGAAGGAATTTGTTCATATTCTTTGTCTGCGAAGACAGGAGGTTCTATGTAAGGCGCTCCTCAGGTTCTCCAAGGATCGAGAAGCCTACGTTGCACCTGGGTGCATAACAACCGAATGAAATATTTTATTTTTAATTGTAGAAATTATTAAGGTGCTTTCGTCGAAGTATATGTTGATTTTTGTATGCGTGAAAATGATGTCACTGCAATTGCACTTGGTATTTATTGAGGAGAGAGAGAGAGAGAAAGAAAATGTCTACTAGTAAAAAGATCACGATATTCGATGATATGCTAAATAAATTGATCGTACTATTTGCTGTTTTAAGTTAGCATAATTTTAGTGGTAGTTACTTTTCGTGATCCACATGCACACACATACACACTTCTGCCCTCCCTGTTATATTTTTTGATGCTCAAACCGTGATTGTTTTGCATATTCAAGGCGAGCCAATTGTATATCGCTTCCGATGCGCGGTCCACGAGAGATGTGTACGTTTTAAGCTGGATTTAGATTTTATACACGTATACGCTTGCGTAAGATCATCTCCGGTTATGCGAGAGAGAGAAGAGAGAGAGAGAGAGAGAGAGAGAGAAAAGAAGATTTAAAAAAACGAAAAAGAAAGCGTTGTAAACTATAAAAAAAAAAACAAACAAAGGAATAGTAATTATTATTAACGTACTTAACGGTTTTTCGTTTCACGATGTGTTATAACGTAACAGACGTGCACATACGTATTATATACATATAGATATATTATATACACAGAATTATATATATTAGATATGTCAATCTACATATATATATATATAATATATATGTCGAGACTCGTTTCCAGCTGGTCTGATCGGGTATTACTTTAACGATTATAATTGCGTTAACCTGGCAGCGATGCGATTGCGAGTAAAAACACTTGAAAGAGGTGCGTGCAATCACATAGGATAATTATAATAGCGTATTGTATCTCTATCGTCGTGCTTCGACGACAGCCCTAGTGAATTGGAAGGGTAAAGAATAGTAGTCCATCGACGATGAAAGTGAATAAGGAGATAACTGGTTGATACTTCTGATTATTCGATTCATAGATATAATAATTGTATATGTGCGATCGAAAAACTCGAGTAAGTAAGCATCGTTTGTAAACATAAATGATATCCACCGTGAAAAATTGGCGTTATAATGAAAATCTCGTTAATTCGTTGCAACGTGTAAATCCCAATCATCAGATATCGATATCTAAGGAAATATAAGAATAATCAGATACTCTGCTAATTCCTTCGTATGTATTGTTATTTATCTGAAGGGATTCGGTTTAATTTAAGGGAAATATGTATACAAGACGCATTAGCACACGCGATTGGATTCAATGTCCTACCAGAGGTGCATGAGATCTAATGTTTGCGTTAAATCAATTGTTGTTACTTCAAATTATTGTTCTACGGAAACACCATTATGTGAATTGTACCCGAAAAATTATCGTTTCGGATACATGCAAGTGGAGAACCGTGGTGCGCTTTACCCATACTCGATTAGACGATGATACGTAGCTACATGCTTCTTCTACAGCATCACTGCCGGATTTAGTAGCGGTGTTTCTCTTTTTCTTTTTTTTTTTTTAATCGAACGAACGTACCTAATTTGACGTTGTAAATTTGAGCACAAAAATATTGTTCAAACCTGTATATTTTTAGTTGACCGTATAAATTTGTTGACTATGTTCACAAAACAGTCATCGCTTGCTCTCGTATGCTTACTCATCGCTCATAATGGTACGGGTGCTTCGGTAAATGGAACTCTTTACCGCTACCATTCTGACGAATCGTTTACTTGTCTGTTTATTTGTTCGAGATGAGTTTGTATTCGAGAAGCGAGAAATATTAGACGTACGGTGTACTATGAATAGATAGTATAATGAAAATTAATATATAATAAATGAATGGACCTGTACACGTTCATTTTGTTACTTTATACAAAGTTCCCTGATTCTTTCTTTTTTCTTTTTTTTTAACATAAGGTGACAAGGTTTTGAAACATAATAGACTTTATTATTACCTTCATTCTCTTTTTATTAAACTGATGTAGACTGTTTAACTAATTGTACAAACATTGCAGCCTTTAAAAGAGACCAACTCATTTGTTCTCGTTGATCTGCGATCGCTGTTAAGTATTTATTTTTCAATGCATCGTTTAAGTATACCTCTGTGAATTCATCATTATTTGCCTTCTTATCATTGTTTATAAACTTTCTTATAACATAATCTGGAGATACTACTTCAGAACCAACAATAAGATTATAAAATATTGCTGATCCACGAGGTGGTAATACATATACGCTGTTTACTGGTGCCGATGAAGCACCCAATTCTAGAAAGTTCATTTTATAAAATTAATGTTATAGTAAATATAAAATATCGTTCATAATTTTTTAAATATCATTAATACTATTAACATACTCTGATTTTCTATTACTTTTAGACAAGCCATGATTGCAATAGTTAACTGTTTTTGACAGTACACCATATTTTTATTTGTTATGTGCCACAGACGAACATCTTCGGTTACATAGTTATCGCATGTGGGTAATTTTGGAATAATAGATCCTATCTAAAATACAGATGATACTTAAAGAAAACATTCAATTACATTTTTACATATCAACTTTAAGACATTTACTAATTTGATAATGTCATAACAATTGCTTCGAGGATCCTTCTCAAACCAAGGAATGCAATCCCACTCTAACACTTCAAAAGTGTTGGTTACTAATGCCCAGCTTAATAAAGTATGCCCTACATGTATACCCAATGTAGTTTTTGGTATCTAAAACAATTTTGAAAATCATATTAATATATATAGTTACTTTATTGTCAAGAAGTAATATTAAAATAAATTAATATTAAATCAAAATAATATCTTATTACTTTTTATTCTAGTATATTTGCACCTGTATATTTTTTATTTCAGGAGTTACTTTATATTTCTTGTATTTATTCAGCTTAGAATTGTAATTCAAAATTGAATGACAAACTGTATTCAATATATCAGACTCTAATTTATTCCTTAATAGTAAATCATTTAATGATTTATAGGATCCATTTGTGTCACGACATGATATTATCATCTCAGCATAGGGAAGTTCAATGTGTCTGTGAAAATAATACAGCAATATAATAAACAAACTACAAATTGTAATTATACAATACTTATTGATTAGAAATTAAATAATATAATGTATACTAACCTTTTCAATTGTGTTAATTTACTTTTATTTATTACTTTTAAAATTTCATTTTCTTTTTCTAACAATTGATCCGTGCTTTCATTGTTCTTTTCTATATTTTCTTTTGCTAGTGTTGAACATAGTTTCAACTGCTGAATCCACAAACTCTAATACAATAAATCATTATGTATATTGCATCATATCACTAACTGATAAAAGCATTTAAATATATATATTGTATTGTTGAAATAGATTTTTATGTAGAAAAAGGTTATGAAGACAAGAAAAGATGAATACACATATACTACTTACTTTTCTTGATTTAATTCTATAAATTGAATAACACAATGATTTCAACATTATTATTCAACAATCATTTAAATTAATTACCGGTATATATACAGCATTTAGTAAAATTTAACTTGTTGCATTACAATTTTTAATTTTTTTGTCATTATTGCGTTACGGGGTGGCGTAAGTTTAGGTACTTGCCACAGGCGTTCCATACTCTCGTTACGGTACTGGCGTCAGGTAAGCACCGGGGTCCCTGATATCCCAAGATGATATGTTGATATACAGTATCGGTGCTACGGGGTCCCTGACACCCCAAGATGATATCAGGTCGGCAATGCAGGGAGGGATATTCATGCGACGGGGTCGCTGACACCCCGTATGCCAAAATGTCGATATGCAAAAAGAGTTACCGATGCTTAGGGGTCCCTAACATCCCAGGATGATATCATGCCGGTAACTACAGAGCGTTACCGGCGCTTCGGGGTCCTTGACACCCCGTGTACCATAATGTCGGTATGCAAAAAGTGTCGACGGTGCTTCGGGGTTCTTTGACACCCCAAGGTGATATCAGGCAGGTATCCAGAGGGACCTACATGAAGCTAGCCGGAAGGAATAATAAAATATGATTATTTTTAATTTTTCTTAGTCTATTTCGTTTGTAAATAGCAATTTTATTTCATGAAATAAACCGAAACTTTTTAGTAATTTTTTACAATAAACAGATTTTGTGATAACTGATAACTGTAATTGATTGGAAATTTTATAAATATATCATTGTTTGTAAGTGAATACTTTCTTAATTATTTATAAGTTTGTTTTATAATCAATAATGGTAGTGCGCATGCGCTACAGATCCGGTCGCACCCATCACTACCTCGAACAAGTGAGTTTCACGATTTGTTCGTTTTTAGGTCTTATATTTCGCTAGATCCGGTCGTACCCATCACTACCTCGAACCAGTGAGTTTCACGATTTGTTCGTTTTCCGTTCTTATATTTCGCTAGATCCGGTCAAACCCATCACTCTCCCGAACAAGTGAGTTTCACGATTTGTTCGTTTTCCGTTTTTATATTTCGCTAGATCCGGTCAAACCCATCACTATTCCGAACAAGTGAGTTTCACGATTTGTTCGTTTTTCGTTCTTATATTTCGCTAGTTGCTTCGGGGTCCCTGACACCCCGGTGGCATAATATCGGTATGCAGCGTCACTGGTACGATGGGGTCTCAGATACCCCGAATGCCGTAGTGTCGGTAAGCAGTATCATCGGTGCTACGGGGTCCCTGACACCCCGGATTCCAAAATGTCGGTATGCAAACAGAGTCACCGGTGCTGCGGGGTTCCTGACACCCCAAAATCATATCATGTCGGTATAGAGAGATAGTCACAGGTGCTTCGGGGTCCCTGGCACCCCGGATACTATATTATTGGTATACAAAGATACTTACCGGCGTTTTGGGGTCCTTAATACCCCAATATGATATCAGGTCGGTATGCAGAGATGGTCACTGGTACTTCGGGGTCCCTGGCACCCCGGATGTTATATTATTGGTATGCAAAGATACTTACCGGCGTTTTGGGGTCCTTAATACCCCAATATGATATCAGGTCGGTATGCAGAGATGGTCACTGGTACTTCGGGGTCCCTGGCACCCCGGATATTATATTATTGGTATGCAAAGATACTTATCGGCGTTTTGGGGTCCTTAATACCCCAATATGATATCAGGTCGGTATGCAGAGATGGTCACTGGTACTTCGGGGTCCCTGGCACCCCGGATGCTATATTATTGGTATGCGAAGATACTTACCGGCGTTTTGGGGTCCTTAATCCCACAATACGATATCAGGTCGTTACGCACAGGGCGTAATTGGCGCAGAGGGGTCTCTAACACCCCTGGATAATATCAGGTCCGTATGAAGAGGGCACACCAGTATAATTTTTTTCCAGAATTTATTTAATTTACATCATTTAATTTTTTTTGCTTATTAAGTAAGCTCATCGAAGGGGAATAACATTTATGATTATATCCCTCTTGTGGGTCTCGGCTGAGGACCCCATTTATTTTACTTTTTCCAGTTATTTATATAATTTCATCCCTCATTATAGGCCAAGGCCATCTCAGTATCCCTTACATCCCTGCATTCCTTACATCGCTACATCCCTTACATCCCTAAGTACTTTTCAATCCTACATTCCTTACATCTCTTCATCCCTCAAATCCCTACATTCTTATCATCACTTAAATCCCAGCATTATTATCATCCCTACATTCCTTACATCTCTTCATCCCTTAAATCCCTACATTCTTATCATCCCTACATTCTTTCCATCCCTACATTCTTTTCATCCCTACACTCTTTTCATCCCTACACTCGTTTCATCCCTACATTATTTTCATCCCTACATTGTTTTCATCCCTGCATTCTTTACATCTCTGCATCCCTTATAATAAATATATTATAAAGACTGCTTCAAGTAAAGGTAAGTAAAGGTAAGTAACGGTAAGTATGTTCCTTTTTTCGCCACCACAGCGCCCCCTAGCGGCAAAAATTCGAACTAAAATCTCGATGTTGAATCAGCGCTCCCTGGTGGCGAAAAAAGGAACTAAACCATGCTCCATTTCTGGCCCTCTGGCGGCAAAAATGCGAACTAAAATCTCGATGTCGAATCAGCGCCATCTGGTGGCGAAAAAAGGAACTAAACCACGCCCCATTTCTGGCCCTCTGGCGGCAAAAATGCGAACTAAAATCTCGATGGCGAATCAGCGCCATCTGGTGGCGAAAAAAGGAACTAAATCACGCTCCCCTTTTGGCCCTCTGGCGGCAAAAATGCGAACTAAAATTTCGACGTGGAATCAGCGCCCTCTGGTGGCGAAAAAAGGAACTAAATCATGCTCCCTTTTTGGCCCTCTGGCGGCAAAAATGTGAACTAAAATTTCGATGTGGAATCAGCGCCCTCTGGTGGTAAAAGAAGAAACTTAATTTTGAAAAAATTTAGATTTAAAATTATTTTTTGCGAGACTTTACTTACCTTTACTTACCTTTACGTAAATTTACTCGAACCAGTGGCCATAAGTATATTATTTATAATATATTTATTTATAAGGGTTGAAAGGATACAGGAGATGCAGGGAGAATTCAGGGGTGTAAGGGATACAGAGATATAAAGGGTACAGACGTATGGGATGCAAAAATGTAAGGGATGCCAAGGTATAAGGAATGCCGGCATATACGAGATGCAGGAATATAGGGAATGTAGTGATATAAGATATCGTAGCTCTTAGCTTGATATTGCTTTCTAAAAGTTATCTTTAGAAAACGATATCAATTACCAGGTCACACCACGTGGAGGTGGCTACGTTAGTGACCCACCCTAAAACAGAACAGAACTAACGGGGTAATATTTACTCTCGCGTTGAAAATTTTTCGCAACACTACTTAAACTTGAAAATTCGAACGGGGTAATATTTACTCTCGCGTTGAAAATTTTTCGCAACACTACTTTAACTTGAAAATCCTAACGGGGTAATATTTCACTACACAACGGTATGCGGGTGGATAAATGATTATGTGATAGAGTTCGTGAGGCTGAAGTGCGAATGATGAGTGTTTAGGGTCGAGAATTGTGAACGTGACAGAATGAATTTCAAATACGAAAGGGGAACTTTATACAATGCTTGAAGAGCAAATACCGACCGCCCCGGGGGCCAGCCCATATACTAAACTGATGCCAATATCACGAATAAAATCGGAAAAACGTTTCAATTTCAAGAGCGATTTCGTTATCAAAGTAAGTAGTTACAATAATTAATAGTATTCATGCTTATTACTTTGATATTGAAATCCGCTCATCGCGAAATAAATTCTTGTACATATAAAAAAGAAAGTGTATTGTGAAGTCGGAGGGTCATCCGTACATTTTTAAACTCGAAATCTATATATGTAAATATGTACAAGAAAACCCTATCCTGAGCTAAGGCATAAAATACACAAAAAAGCAATTTGCACGATTATCATTGTATAAAATGATACAGTGATATTCGTGTGTCACTATGCTCGCTCAAAAAATAATAATTACAACCAATTCCCGTGTCGCTACGGACCATTCGTCCTACGACATGATGGGAACCGGAGGAACTTTAAAGCATGCGACTCACCGATCGTTGACTTGTACCACTGCTCTCGCCACGCATCTTATTAGCTCGTCTGTTGGCTCGTAAAAGAAACGGTATCCCCACTGGCCAAAGCACTCATCTGAAAGCATAAAAATCACGATTCTTGAATGATATATGTTTTCTCTCAATTTGTTGTAGTTAATATGCTAATATATACTATAATTTAAAAATATGCATGCAAAACTATATGGGAATAACCACATCATAAAATACGGTAAAACACATGCAAATAAATACATCCCAAAACACATGAGGATCAAAACCATAGAACACCATAAAATATTTGCAAAATTGTAGTAAAACACATAGGGTACCACTCCATAAAACGAACTAATATATCCGTATAAATATTCCAAAGCACATGGGAAACACTATAGGAAACACTATAGGCAAACACAGTAACACTTGTGGTAATACACTGATAAATCCATGGTATCAACCCGTACCGGTATATGTTTGACAGATCCATCCGTATCGTTCAGCGGTCGCGATAAGACTGATTAGATTTGACATCTCTACAGGTCGCGCTTGTACCGGCGCGCGGCGCGCGCAATCAAGCATGACGTTCCGCTTCACCGGTTCCGCAGATTTAACTATTTCTATCTGATATTTGTTAATATTTGTTAATATTTGTTTAATTATTATTTTATATTTTATATTTTACAATTGTTTATTAATCAAATTATTGTTATATCTATTTAAATTGTTTATTTCTTTACATTTCCGCGTGGGTATATTGCAAAATTTTGTTTAATTATTTTATTAAAAATTATTTAATTATTATTTTTAATTTTACAATTATTTATTAATCAAACGAACGAACTGCGCCCTACAGAATGGACTAGAAACTAAATTTCTGGTCTGTTTTACCTTGCTGACGTCTTTCGCGTGTGAACAATCAACGAAATCGTGTTGGGTGCTCGTTTTATTTTATCCGACACAAAGAATATTAGTCTGGTGCCTATTTGGACAAACTATTGGCAGAAATGTTTATATTACGAATAAATCAATGTAGATGAGTCCGATCCGCCATTTTCTTGACCGTTGACAGACAGCAATTTCAATATTTTATAACTTTTTAATGATTTGGATAATATAAGGATCAGACTAATATTCTTTAGAGCCTCCTCCATAAACATTTTGTTTAGAAAATCGTTTTACTGATGGAAAATAATCGGTTGTCTCAACTAAAAAGTTCATTTATATATTGATAGATGGCAATAGAACAGTGTTCTGAAATGTGTTATGTATGTTTACATAATTTAACGAAAATGTGTATCAGTCGTCATTTTATTACTTTTTTTTTAGTGAACTCTTGTTATTTTCCATGACTGATTATGATAATAAATTTTAGACTGTGAAAGTTAATTATATCAATCCCGATATGTACATATATGTATTTATGTATATAATATATAAATTGATAAGGGTCATATGTAGTTTTAAGTTTTAGTGAAATATGTATGTATGTATTTTGGAAATATTATGATTAATAAACTTTAAATTTTTAATAATACAATTGTATTTATATATTATTGTTAAACTAATTTTACTGAAAACTGAATTTATTGTTTTTATGAAATATATTTATACAGAAATTAGGTTATGTATGTGTCGAAACAAATTGTTTATCGTTTCAATGTCTTTGTTGGTTTATGCGATAATTGCGATAAAAGCAGATAGCGACTTTTAATCTTTCATAAGAATATTTTTCGTTTTCTTATTAAGAAAAGTACTTTCTGAACGAAAGTCTGTACTTACATAACCTTTAAAGAGTTTTCTGCGTAGAAACACAATTCACTGATCAAATCAATTATTAAAAATGTCTCCAAGAATTGTTGTCGTGGGTTCATGTATGATTGATTTTACTTGGTAAGTAATAATAATATCATAAGTATATAATCTTTTAATGGTTCGTACAGAATCACTTACTCATTTTAATTCAGTAATTTGTTGAGTTTAACTGGTTTATCTGTTGCAGCTTTTCTCCAAGTTTACCGAAACCTGGTGAAACATTAATTGGTCATAATTATGAGATAAAGTATGGAGGTAAAGGTGCCAACCAATGTATAGTAGCTAACAAACTTGGTGCTTCGACAGCAATTGTTGCTTCTGTATGATTCTAATAAACATTCCATTTTTTAAACAATTAACTCGAGCAAATCTTATTCTAATACATTTTTCATACAGTTAGGTTGTGACATATATGCTCAAGAATATTTAAAGATATTTAAGAAGGAAAACATAGATGCTTCTCATGTCCAAATACAACCAAATCAACACAGTGGAATAGCACATATAACTGTTGCTGACAATGGTAAGCAATAAACTGCATTTAGAAACTGTCTCTATACCTTTAACAACTTTTAAAATAAAATCGTTCTCATGAAATTGAATTTCAGGTGAGAATTGCATAGTAGCTGTATTAGGATCAAACGCTGCTTTAAGTCCGGAACACGTGGACTCTGCAGTTGACGTTATTAAGGGCGCCAACGTTTTACTATGCCAATTCGAGACACCTATAGAAACTACATTACACGCTTTAAGGCTTTTTAAGTACCATGGTTGGTCGCATCTCGAAATGATTCGTTGTTCTCTCAAGAAATCACGTTAATAACTACACTAGTAATGTAATTCAACAGGTCTGTCGATAGTGAATGGAGCTCCTGTTACAAAAAAAATTGATCCGGAATTGTTGAAACTTTGCGATGTATTCTGTGTTAACGAAACTGAGGTATTCGTGAATCGGCTCATATGATACCGCTGCAAGTTAGCGTCACGTAACTGTTTGAGAAAGCAAACACTTCACAATGATAACAGAATATTTTTTTTAATTAATTAGAATCGGCCCAGGATTGATCACGATCGGTACATACATTAATGCGTGCATTTCTAGGCAGAGGCTATGACCGGAGTGGAGCTTGTGGGATCTTCGAGCATGGAACAGGCAATCAACATATTGTTAGATAAAGGTTGCAATACGGTAATACTTACTCTTGGAGAGCAAGGAGCAGCGTATGCATCCCAGGACGACAGAAGCGTTAAATTGGTCCCTACCACGCGTGTTCAGCCAGTAGACACAACAGTATACTCGTTGATTCTTGCTCTGTTTAAATAATGAAATTGTCATCCGAAACATGATCAAAATTGTTTCCTAGGGAGCCGGAGATGCATTTCTGGGTGCTTTTGCATACTTCAAAGCTTATCACCCAAACCTTTCGATGAACGAGTGTATCCGAAGAGCTTGCATGGTCGCTACGGAATCTGTGCTGAAAAGCGGTACACACGCAAGCTTTCCGACCAGGAGCGATTTGTCGCCAGATTTGTTCGTCGAATGAATCAAACTTATATTTGTTTATTGTTTCTCTGTTCTTATTACAATGTTCCGTTCAAATTATTCCCCTTGTTAATCATTCGACGAAATATTTATTGAATAAAATAGATTGTTTTTTGAGAAAGAAGAATCCTAATTTCATTTTAATATAAGCGTGAAAGTGAAATGAAAGTATACGTGAGAAGATATTGATAACCGGTTTACGAAGTTGCTCGTTTAACAGAATGAATAAACTTCCGAATAGCTCCCACACCCGATTTTCTTGACTTTTATATATATTCAATATGACTCCTGAGTAACATTCAATAGGTTTAAATCGGCGATTATTGTTTATTCAAAAGTTATTAACAAAATAAGATCGATATATGCGTGGCAATATGGAAAAAGTCCCCGTACCCAATCACCTTGTCTCCATAACATATATCAAGGTCAAGGTGATCGGGTGTGGGGGCTTTTTCCAAATTGCGGTGCATATGTATATCGATCTTTCTTTGTTAATAACTTTTGAATAAACAATAATCGGTGACTTAAACATTTTGAATGTTACTCAGGAGGATGTCAAGAAAATCGGGTATGGGAACTATTCGGAAGTTCAGCCAACAGAATATGATACATTCAAGGATCGAAGGTTTCATTGTGAGGTTCAATTAAAAGTAATCTTGCTAATCTCAGTCGTTTAATTTGAAAACTAAATATAGAATGATTCGTACTAGCATGATCTATTAATATGCAAAAGTTTTCCTTGTACATACGTAAGTATATTTATCGCGATACGAGATGCGCGAGGTGTAGAAAAACAAAATGGAAAGTGAATTTGATTGATCAAGGATATTCTAAGAATCATGTCACGAACGCAACATTGTTTCCCTATCCTCGGATTCAATGAAACGATCGTGAGGTGATCTGTGTTATGTGTTTTTTTGCAAAAATTTTATGAAAAGACGAGAAATATGCAAGATTAATGAATATGTAAACTGTTCTTTTCTACCGAAATGATTCTTTCCTTAGAATGGCTAAGGTGGGAATCTTCCTCGTGCGACATCCATTTGCCACACGAGTGTGACGCAGTCGACCCCGTGCCGTTACAAGCTGATTCAGTCGCGAGTGGGAGTGGACGCGTGTTCCCAGGGAATTCCCTGAAGTAGCACGCGAGTTGCGCCCGCACAGTGCGTGAGTTGCAACTTATCTCGTTTTCACCATGAAAGTTACTCGCTCTTCGACGGTACAGGAAACAGGTCGTTCGAATTAAATAATTACAATTTTCCTCTGTATCATAACAGATTCCGACTATTTCGTTCGATGATTGTTATCGATCGATATTCGAACTCGGCGAATGAATCACCGGCGGATCCGTAGTAGATCAATCACGATCAACGCGGACGCCGCGCGATCCTCGGATATTTGTTCAATCGTAATAAATAATTCTATGGATAAAAGAATATAGAGAATATTTGCAATCTATGAAATGTAATAATTGAACTCCACTCCTATGGTAGCATATAATAAAATGGAATTTTGTTTCGTTGCGTATTCTCGAATGACATACGCTTTCCACTACCAAACGAATCGGATTTTTAGCGTATAGTCAAAGGGTTAATTCGTTGAAATCGAATTACGCGTTTAATACCGTTGTAACTGCACAGAAACAAACGAACGGTATCTCCAACAATCACACCTGACGAACGTACGGATTCCTTGTCAATAAAGTTCAATTCGAATTTGATTCCGAAATGGTGGATATTTTTGGCGAGAACCAGTTTGTTGAGTTTTAAAAAATAAGCTAGAAGGAAATCTACTTTGCGTTACGATGGAATAATTTCACAAATTAGAAGTATCAATCAGGGTCATAATGATATGTCGTTAGCGCGCGTACACAAAACTGTTATAACTATGTAGAAGAGTAACGTATAACGTGTAACGTAGTGTGACGTACAAATATAAATGAAGAAATGTAAAGTGAGTAGGTACTATCAGCTGTCAATTAAATAAATTAAGGAAAAAGATAGCTTGAACATCGAGCAAGAAGTTCCATCAGGTTGTGGATTGCGCTGAGATGAATAAGTTACTTAACATCTACAAACGACGTTAACAATTAATATATTATTCATTTTATTATACTTGTATTAATCTTTATTTGGATTATAGGGACGCAAATTTCCACTTATTAAGTCGATAACATGTGGTTCTATATGAAAGAAATAGTACAGGTTTTTGAGCAAAAAGATATTGTATTTTATTAAATAAATGTATAAAAAGCAAGTAAATATCAAGCGATCAGTTGTATATTATTTTCATCATTGAAAGATGATTGGTAAGAGTACAAAAAATATACCTTTATCACATTTATAGTCATGGAAGAGATTCACAGAAATATATATATAAATAAATAAATAAATAAATAAATAAATAAATATTATGTTTGATACATTGCTTCGCCGATAAAACGCATAAACATTATTTTCATAATTATCGTTAATTATATAATACATATTGCACGGGTGTATTTGTCCGTGGAGTATCGAGTATTGAGCAAAACAAGATTTTCCCCGTTGTAATAGTACGTCACTGAGTATTTTTCACTCGTTCACTAACTTATAATGGTGATTGTCTTGCAACTGTGTTATAACATGGTATTACGACTATAGGTATCGTTGGAACAAATATCTTGTAAGTGAAACATTACTGTAACAGATTTAGGAACAAAAACGGTGGTGACTTACGACTACAGAGGAAACAATATGGTACTTAACGCGCTTAGGTAACCCTTAACATTTGTCAAATGAAAGACTTGAAAAATAAGAATAAAACCTAATCTAATCCTTAACTTAACAAATGTCTAATTTTAAATCGAATCGAGGGTTTTGAGTTTGGAATTATTAGCCAACTATAATACTAATCTGGAATGTTAATCAATAAGTACTAAATATAAATAACACGCATAGCGGAATTACGAATTAATATTATTAATACTGGTTTTATTGCTGCCATTGCGATTGTAAGCGCAGACACAACCAGTGAAGATCTCCATGCCTTCCTTCGAATTCTTTTCGTATATTATCTTGGAAGTTTGCAAGCACATGTACTGCGGCCGTTTCGTATCTGAGCAAGGTAGACCGAGATTCACGCACTTGATGTCGTACAATTCTTCCATTTCGGCAAATCGATAATTACGTTTACTGACAGGTTCGACGACGTAAGTGCAACTTGACGTGTCCTGCAAGTCTTCCACCTTATAGGTATGTTGATTATTCTTGAATTTATTCATTATTAGGTTCTGTTTCGCTGATGGTTTGGCTTCTGAGTTCAGTTGTTTCTCCATGAAAGAGATCAGCAACACGCACAGGAAGGCTCCTTTGATAAGCGACAGGCTTTGGTTGGAACACATCTTCAGATTGCTTCTTCGATATTTGCACAAGTGTTTTGTACCTTAATTTGATGTTGGCGCACAATTGTCTATTATTATATTATGTTAGACCGGAATGGACGGACTAGATGAGGTTTGGTCAAACTTCGATGATTGTTTGAGGATGAATGCAAAGCGTCCTGGCTTTTATAGTTTTAAGTAAAAGTGAACTCTTCCTCTCCCCATCGTGGGATTTTTGGTGATCATTGCGCGTAGGTTGATGCCACCGCATCTGTACCCCCTTCTACCTTTCTTATGTTCACCTTAGGTTTGACGTCACCGGTAACTCATTTCCTCCTGTCTTCAGATGTCTGTACGTATTCTTAAATTGTATATAATTTAACAGTATCATCCTGATTGAACTTCAGCGACAATTCACGGAGGTTACGGAGAAAGAGAAATGGCCGAAACGTCATCGGTGTGTATTCGCGGAAAACAGGAAAGCGAGGAACACGGGAAAGGCGTTTTATCCTTGCTAGCCTAGCCGCAATTCCTCACGGGGATGCCATGCCGTCGATGATGGATGCAACTCCTTTTACTGTTTACGCAGCACCCTATTTCTTTCGTTTCTTTGTTACCACAGAAAGGTGAATAAAATTCGATTGCTTTCTTGTGTTAATCATTGATTACTGGAGGATTAAAGTTCAATGCGCGTACAGATATTAATAATGGCTTCAAACGGTAGAAAGTCTAACGCATAAATGACATTTGTGATATATCAATTTAAAGTTTAAAGTTTAATAAAAATGACTGTATGAACGTTTTATCGATATTCTTAATGGAGAAAATAAGTTCCCTTGAAAATCTTATTTAGCGCGATATTTTGAAAATTATTCTTTGCAAATGATATTTTAATGAAATAAAAACACGAATAAATACAAAGTCTGTGCAGTCGTTATAAATGGAGACCGTCTTACGAGGAAATTTCCATCGATTTTATTCTACATTGTCGCTGGCCGGTGAAAAATATTTTCAATTAACGGCGCAGAGAGGCGAAGGTATCGATAGGAAGGGCGAGGGAGGAGAAACAGTTTTTCTGGTATCGGATTTCGAAAGAATAACGGCCGTTAAAGGGTTCATAACGAGCGGAAACACGAACGGCGTATTTCCCGCTTCTTTTGCGGCTCGGTACACTGAAATTTTATATTTTTCCCCGGTGCAAATAGGAACGCGAAACTTTCATATTTTTATCTTTTTTCTATTTTGTTACTGTTGTTTGCCTCTCTGGAGAGCTTCTCACCCTTGGTAGGTACAAGCTTCAATTAAAACTCCTGAAATATCGTTTATTATAATTTCCTTAAACAAAGGAAACTCATCGAACAACTATTCCGTTCACAAACAGTAAATATTAGCAGAAACGAAAATGTTTCAATGTTTTTACTTAATTCTTCTAAAATATCCGGATGATATTCTAGCGATTTTACTATAAATAAATTATTACTCATCCATCAAGGATCAACGTATCATTAACTAGGCACTAGTTACCGTGTGCGATATGTCGATCGACGAGTGCGTCAAGAAAACTGTAAAATCGAAGTTAGGAAAGAAGGAAAAACCAAATACTTGACGCACTCGTCCTGGACTCATTTGAACGTTGGTAACGAGCACCTTACAACAGCAGGAGGATCGGGTGTGGACGATCGAGGTAATTGACAAAACGAACAGAACGATCGTAGAGGGAGAAAAAGGGAAACGGAAGGGGTGCCGTAAAACGTCTCGAC